TTCACAACAATTGTAAATGTAAAAATGAGCATTAGCTAATATGTGAACTGAAGTTTAATGACACTTGTAAACATTCAACAGTACATTAACAAATAAACTTGTAATCATTGTGTAATTTCTGTTAAAATCTTTTGTAGATTTTCAAAACGCATTGAAAGTTGAATGACATTTGTAAACATTAACTAATGATCAGTTAAGCATTGTATAATGTTTGTTAATGATTTATTAATGAAGCTTTTAATCATTGTAAACCATCTGTCAAAATCATTAGTTTTTTTTAGTTTTTTTTAATGACATTTGTAAGCATTTCAATTTAAATTTAATTAATGATCTGTTAATCATTTGGTAATGATTAATTTCTAGATTTGTGAATATATATTAAGTAATGATTAGTTAAACATTATATAATGTTTGTTAATGATTTATTAATGAAAGTTATTATAAAGTGTTACCTTTTTCTTTTCTTTTTTTCATTTTGGTGCTTTGACAGCCCCAGTCCTAATACACTACCTAATACACTTGCATTATATTGAAAAGACTGGCCAGGATTTTCTTTAAATATTCTCCATTTTTGTCTTCCATGAAAAGAAAGGAATTCATAAGGATTTGGTTTAACATGAGGATGAATTCCCCCACAGTTAAAACACATGCAGGACAGGCGAATTCTTATCTCTTCCTACTTCAGGTGCCAGACTAATTGGAAACTCCAGTTGCTCTGGGAGGTTAGAGATGCTTCATGATCAGACGTGGATGTCAGTGTGTGACGCTGCCTTTGACCAGCAGGATGCAGAGGTTGTGTGTAGAGAGCTGGACTGTGGGGCTCCTGTACAGGTGCTGGGAGCAGCTGCTTTTGGCAAAGGAGACGCTCAGATGTGGACACAAGAGATTCAGTGCAGAGGAAATGAGTCTCAGATTCACCTCTGTCCAACATCCCTTTATAAAAACCATTGTTCAGATGATAATTTCCAGGGGCTGTTCTGTGCTGGTAAGGAATAAAGTAAAATGAGAGTAATATCTTTTTAATATTCCACATTTTACTCATAGTCTCTCTTTGTATTCTTCTGTGACTTAGATAGAAAGAATGTGAGGTTGGTTGATGGTAACAGTCCTTGTGCTGGTAGAGTGGAGGTTCTTCATAGAGGTCAGTGGGGAACAGTGTGTGGTGATTTCTGGGATTTGGCTGATGCTGCAGTGGTGTGTAGAGAGCTGGACTGTGGAGAACCTGTAGATGCTCTGACTGATGATGGCTTTGGGCAAGGATCGGGACCAGTCTGGATGAGTGCTGTATTATGTACTGGATCAGAGTCTACACTGAAGAACTGTAAGTCATCAGGATGGAGCATGAATAGCTGTACTCACAATGCAAATGTGGGGGTCATCTGTTCAGGTAAATAATGTGTACTTCTAAGCATTAAGCATTTTTCCCTACTTCTTGACCATGGATTTGTGTTTATGCAAATAATTATTGTGTTTTATGTGGAAAACTTCTTGTATACTAATATAGCTGTATTGTTGCATGTTTTATCTGCATTACGTCTGTATTATGTGTGTTTTCTTTACTGTGCACTGTGCTTCATGCAATATAAACAGGTCATAAGCCTTCCAGACTTGCTGCTGGATCTCACCTGTGCTCTGGGAGGCTAGAGATACTTCATGATCAGACGTGGATGTCAGTGTGTGACGCTGCCTTTGACCAGCAGGATGCAGAGGTTGTGTGTAGAGAGCTGGACTGTGGGGCTCCTGTACAGGTGCTGGGAGCAGCTGCTTTTGGCAAAGGAGACACTCAGATGTGGACACAAGAGATTCAGTGCAGAGGAAATGAGTCTCAGATTTCATTCTGTTCAATATCATCACACAGACACAACTGCAGCAGTGACAATAATGTGGGCTTGAAATGTTCTGGTAAAGAAGCAATATTCAGTGTCTCTTCATTTATTTGTAATGTAAGATTTACTATAATCAATCTTAAAGTAATAGTTCACCCAAAAAGGAAAATTCTGTGATTCTTTACTCACCCTGAAGTTGTTCCAAACCTGTATGTTGGTAACCAAACAGTTGACGGTAGGCCTTGACATCCATTGTAATGAAAAAAGTACTATGGAAGTCAATGGCTACCATCGACTGTTCGGTTACCAACATTCTTCAAAATATCTTATTCTGTGTTTAACAGAAGAAAGAAACTCAAACTCATTCAAGTTTGGAAGAAGTGGAGGGTGAGTAAATGATGACAGAACTCTAATTTTTGGGTAACCTATACTTTTAAATATATTCTATTGCAAAAGGTATTCCCCTAAGTAGTTTATTTTTTGCATTTGGCTGATGCTGCAGTGGTGTGTAGAGAGCTGGACTGTGGAGAACCTGTAGATGCTCTGACTGATGATGGCTTTGGGCAAGGATCGGGACCAGTCTGGATGAGTGCTGTATTATGTACTGGATCAGAGTCTACACTGAAGAACTGTAAGTCATCAGGATGGAGCATGAATAGCTGTACTCACAATGCAAATGTGGGGGTCATCTGTTCAGGTAAATAATGTGTACTTCTAAGCATTAAGCATTTTTCCCTACTTCTTGACCATGGATTTGTGTTTATGCAAATAATTATTGTGTTTTATGTGGAAAACTTCTTGTATACTAATATAGCTGTATTGTTACATGTTTTATCTGCATTACGTCTGTATTATGTGTGTGTTTTCTCTACTGTGCACTGTGCTTCATGCAATATAAACAGGTCATAAGCCTTCCAGACTTGCTGCTGGATCTCACCTGTGCTCTGGGAGGCTAGAGATACTTCATGATCAGACGTGGATGTCAGTGTGTGACGCTGCCTTTGACCAGCAGGATGCAGAGGTTGTGTGTAGAGAGCTGGACTGTGGGGCTCCTGTACAGGTGCTGGGAGCAGCTGCTTTTGGCAAAGGAGACACTCAGATGTGGACACAAGAGATTCAGTGCAGAGGAAATGAGTCTCAGATTTCATTCTGTTCAATATCATCACACAGACACAACTGCAGCAGTGACAATAATGTGGGCTTGAAATGTTCTGGTAAAGAAGCAATATTCAGTGTCTCTTCATTTATTTGTAATGTAAGATTTACTATAATCAATCTTAAAGTAATAGTTCACCCAAAAAGGAAAATTCTGTGATTCTTTACTCACCCTGAAGTTGTTCCAAACCTGTATGTTGGTAACCAAACTGTTGATGGTGGGCCTTGACATCCATTGTAATGAAAAAAAGTACTATGGAAGTCAATGGCTACCATCGACTGTTCGGTTACCAACATTCTTCAAAATATCTTATTCTGTGTTTAACAGAAGAAAGAAACTCAAACTCATTCAAGTTTGGAAGAAGTGGAGGGTGAGTAAATGATGACAGAACTCTAATTTTTGGGTAACCTATACTTTTAAATATATTCTATTGCAAAAGGTATTCCCCTAAGTAGTTTATTTTTTGCATTGTTACTGAATGGTAAAGAACTATTTGACAATGTCACACATATAAAGAGAAGAATTTTCTCAATCATATGTTATATGAGAGATACTGTTTTTGTATGTAATGGGCCTTGTAATGACAAAAGGTTTGTTTTTTTGTTTTTGTCCAGGTTACACTGATCTCAGACTGATAAATGGCTCAGACTCTTGTTCTGGAAGAGTGGAGCTTCAGTACTTACTGATGATGATTTATTATGCTGCTGAGACTCAATAATAAAAATGCAATATTTCATCTCACTACATGTATTTTTCAAACATTCATTTCAGACTGAAATATTAATGCTCTCGTTATTCATTTCTGAATTTATTTCTTATTATGTAAAATGTATTATTGATGTAAATCGTATTCTCAGACTTGTAATATTTTAGTAAAACAGTTCTTCTCTTCAGGTTCCTCTCTGGCTCTTCATGATGGTCTGGTGCGGTTGTCTGGAGAGAGACAGTGTGAGGGGCAGGTGGAAGTTTTCATCCGTCAGGTCTGGAGGAGAGTTCTGCTGGACTCCTGGAGTCTCACTGAATCCTCTGTGGTCTGCAGACAGCTGGGCTGTGGCTCTGTGCTGAACTTCTACGGCTCCTCTTCATCCAGTCCTGAACACAGTCATGAGTGTGTGACGGGCTCAGGTCGCGGGTCCATCAGGCTGGTGGGTTCTGGGGGAGACTGTGCAGGGAGGCTGGAGGTTTTTCACAGCGGCTCATGGGGGACAGTGTGTGATGACTCCTGGGATATTAAAGATGCTCATGTGGTGTGCAGACAGCTGCAGTGTGGAGTGGCCCTCAGTAACCAGCAGGTACCAGCCTGGTTTGGTCCTGGTTCTGGACCCATATGGCTGGATGAGGTGGAGTGTGAGGGGAATGAGACGTCCCTGTGGAGCTGCTCTTCTCCAGGCTGGGGAAAACACGACTGTCAGCACAAGGAGGATGTAGGAGTCGTGTGCTCAGGTAAACTGTGAACAATTAACAATAGCAAATATTTATTTATACATTTTTATATGTTTATTTATATGTATTTTTTTTATTTAAACTCAAAATTTAAATAAGATTATGAGATATTTCAACAACACATTCACATGCCCATAATGTTCAGATTTTTCTATTTTGTGATTTTAAAATGTGTTTTTTTCTGTCTAGAGTTTAAAGAGATCAGGTTAACCGAGGGCTGTGAAGGAAATGTGGAGGTTTTCTACAATGGATCCTGGGGTAATATGTGTTGGAACCACATGGACAGAGACACAGCAAGTATGATTTGTCAAGAGCTGAACTGTGGAAGATCTGGTGATTTTTCTAATTCAATATCAAGAGTGAAATCAGCTCCTAACTGGCTGGATAAAGTAACATGTCGACCACATGATTCAAATCTGTGGCAGTGTCCATCTTTACCGTGGGGACAGAATGACTGCGTTGGAGATGAAGTGGCCGCAATCACCTGCTCAGGTGAGACATTTTCCTTCAGTCAAAAAATACCACGGTAATCCTTTAATTTTAATGCTTTGAGTAAATGCATGAAATATAGTATATACATATAATATTGAATTAACTTGTGACTACAGAACAGGAGAGTCATGAGTCCCCTAGAAGCTATTTCTCATGCCCCACATCTTCCCTCCAGAGACAGTGTTCAGGTAAATTTATTTGATGGAAAAGAGCATCACAACTCTGTTGTATTTTATGTTACTGTCTTATTTTCACTCCACACACTATACCCTACTGCAGGTGCCAGCATTTTAACATTAATCTGTTGGCCAGTAATTTGTCTATGAGTCTGTGATGTGTGTGTTTTAGATCATGTTCCTCTCAGACTGAGTGGAGGGGAGGGCCGGTGCTCTGGGAGGCTGGAGGTGTATCATAACGCTGTGTGGGGCTCAGTCTGTGATGATCAGTGGGACATCAGCGATGCTCAGGTGGTCTGCAGGCAGCTGGGTTGTGGAGCAGCACTGAGGGCTGATGGGAATTCAGTCTTTGGTGCTGGTGAAGGTGTTGTGTGGCTGAACAGAGTCGAGTGCAGAGGGAATGAGATTCACCTGTGGGACTGTCCTCTCTCCCTGAAAAACCACACTGACTGCTCCCACAAAGAGCATGCTGGACTCACCTGTGCAGGTCACAGCAAAACACGAACAAATAGTATTAATTTTAGGCGATTTTAAGACAATCATGATTTTGAATGTGTTTGTGTGTTTGACAGATTTTACAGATGTGTCAGTGTCCTCTACTCCTGCCACAACAACAACAGCTTCTCCTCCAGTGCGCTCAACATCAGTCTCTCCTCCACAAACTCCTCCAGCAGCGTCTCTCTCCGTCCCCCCAGTGCTTGTGATTGTTCTGGGAGTTGTGCTCTTACTGCTCTTAGTGCCACTGCTTATACTGATTCAGCAGAACAGAGTGATGAGGAGAGGTAGGAGAGATCCAGAGACTGTCATATTGTGTCTTATTCAGTGTGTGATCAGTCATGTGTTGTGAACTGACAGCAGGTTTGTCTGTCTACACTCACAGCTCTCTCTAAGAGGAGACACAGGACGACGACTGAGGATGTTTATGAGGAGATTCAACACAGACACAATCACTTCACTCAGAGGGGTGAGTAACTGTCATAGTGTCTGATGTGTTGAGATCAACAGAGTATTACTTCATTCAGAGTGGTGAGTGGAGTAAATCACATTGATTCATTTGTGCACTTACCAGTTAACCATAGTTTTATAATAGTAAAAGTTTAGTGTTTTTGGCAGATTGATTGCCATTTGTATAACCACAGTTTAACTTCATATACCATGGTTAAACTATGGTTAGTGTAGCAAATCCATGATTCATTTGTGGTTACCATGGTTTAACTACAATAACCATGGTTCATTTTTGTAAAGATGTGACCTTACATATCATTTGAAATAATATAGTGTTATATGTTCCAGAGGTTTGTGATTGTAAACATATTTCTGTGGTTCTGCTCATAGACATAATAAATACCTAGACGCCTCATTGGCCGCTTTGAGTCGTTGCTGCGATACGTCAACGTGTCCGCCATGTTTGTGAAGGCAAGACTGCCTTAAAAATAAATGGAGGTAAACGGGGGAGCTGCGGTTTTCAAAAAACATACAGAAACAACTGTTCAGTCTTACCTGTGAAAGATAATACCCCGAGGTCTGTTTTTATTATTGTGCGACGGTTTGTAGATGCCCAAGCTGCCGACGAGTCAGGTATGTTTTCGCCTGTCCCGATATGAGAGTTATGGAGAGTTGCCTTCACCAATATGGCGGCGACGTTGACGTGCGGTCGAACAGCCAATGAGGCGTCTAGGTATTTATTATGTCTATGGTTCTGCTTCCCAATAACAGGAAGTGTCTTTTCTGAAGAACAGCACTCTGGGTACGAAGATGTGGATGAGTTTCTTTCAGGTTAGAGGAATAAAATGTAATAATGTAACATAGAGAAATTTGAAATTAATTGAAAACATTCACCTCATGTCTGCATTATTTTCTAATAATTCAACTGACCGGAGTCAATTATTCCACACATCAAGACATTGTTCAGATGATGTATTTCAAGACATTCGTCAGGTTTTTGTCCTTAAAACGCTCTTGTGTGTAGGACTAATTTTTTACACTTCTTACCCCATTACTCCGCTGTAACGGAGGCTTGAGCCATTGATAGCATAGTAGACTATGAGGCAAGTCGCTTTCTCCCATCCATAAGTAATAGGAGTGCACCATCTTGGAATATCTAAAGTCTTTGGTAATGCGGTTAAGGCATGCCTGGAACTACAGTATCCACCTTTTTCCTGCATCCCATGAAGCTTTGCACAAATCATGTGAGAAACTTACCATGATTACACTGTAAACAATCAGTGAAACCTTTACAATGAGGTGACGTCTACTCACCCTTAAACCATTAATAATTAAAAGTAAATTTAAAAGTGTAAAAGTATTAACATATTACTTTCAATATACCATGAATAACACCAAAAGCTAGATTATTTCTGCAAGAATATCATGCTCGTGTTAAATGTCACTGTAGTAATACATACGTGGCCTTGCCTTAAAAATGTTCATTAATATTAGCGAGCAATAATATTTCCAGGTGTTTTCTGACATTTTAACAGATAACAAATATTGTATTTAACTGCTTTAGAAACATTTTAATAAACACATCTGATAGGAGTAGAAGTGAAAAGGGGAGACAATTACGATTGCATTTTAAAGCATCCATGTGAAAACAAACCTGGAAAGAGACGTTAGAATTTGGGGAGAAAAACAAGAGATTCTTAGTGCATTCCAGTAAATTATTCATAGTATATAGCCTATTGTAAATGAAATCAGGAGGTCAGACCACAAATGCGCAGTAGTTTGTTTGTTTTTTTCCCTCCCATGTTGTTACAGCAGAATACAAAGGAAAAATGAAAATAATGAGGAAAAGACTACAGCAGACTGAAAAGAGCTCTTCTCATAGATATTCTTGTTATACCATGTCACATTAAAATACCAAGTGTTATGTTATTCTATAGACATCTGAAAATTGAACATGAAATAAAACTTACAACTCAGTGAAACTGATGGATAAGGATCATTTTTAGTACAACTTTTTAATTTGAAATGATTTGTTTCAGTCTTTTAGTATAGAACGTCCCCAAACTGGAAGTGCTTTAATAATTTAAAACGCAGTATAGGCTTTCTAGGAAAAAGATGGATAACTATCTTTAAATTTAGCAGTGAAAGAAAATGGAGCACAATGTCCATTGTTATTTTAAAGGTTCATTTTTATTTAAATTCCCCAGAATCTGCGGTAGGAGGCACACCTTACTATAATGATGTCAGCACAGGTCCAACAGGTCAGTGAATCTGTAACTTGATCACAGGATTTCACTTAATTTAATTAAGTGGTTTTAATTAATTAAGTAGTTAATTAAACTACTGAGCCTGTGAACAGTAAAATCAAGTTTTTTTTCACACCCTTTCTTGTTTTTGCTTTTAACTCATTTAAAGAGCAACAAGTCACACCAGAGAATTATGATGATGTAATCACTGTTGGACTGACACATCATACTAGAGGTTTATTTCTTTTATTATTTGAATATGCATGTATAATTTTATGGGCATTTTATTTCTATTATAATTTTAAAGTTATGTGTCTTTTGATTGTCACATTTTATTTTTTTATTTTTGTTGCAGGTGACATATCAGAAAGCTATGATGATGTTGTCATAATAAGACAGCTCTCCAATAATAAAGCAGGTGTGAGTTTCATATTTTACTTTTTTAAATAGACTGGTACAGTGTTTTTCTTTTCTTTTACTATAGTTCATTATAGTGTTATATAAATTATATAGACTTAGTTTTTATATTGTATATTGTGATATATTAGTGTATTTTGAAGTGCAGTGTGAGATTTTGTTCGTGTAATTAATGACTGGCATTTTTTTTATCAGAGGGAGATCTGGAGGAGTATGATAATGTAAGGAATGTCAGTGAAGATGTGCGAGACCTGTCTGGTACGTTACTGTGACCTGCTTTACCTCACACTGATTATGTCTAGTTTTCATAACTAAAAATTATAATGCAATTTAAACATTTGCTCTTGTTTTCTAACAGCAGACTATGATTATTTGAGGGAAGAGCCAGGAAAACGGGGAGGGACTGTTTAAGTCAGTGACTACACCCACTGCCTCACATCTTATTACAGCTTTTAGTTGCTCTGCACTTAAAAGTGTTGAATGTACCAACACAATTGCATTTAGCCAAAGCTTGCTGTTGTTACAATTACTAGACATTAATAGAAAACATGGACATCAATTCAATACAAATATAGAACAGATTCATAAAAAAGACAGGGTGTTTAATATGTTATTTTGTATTTTGACATTTATGTGATCATTTTAAAAAGCTGAAGGTGTCCAGGTCAAAAGCACCTGCTTTTAAAAAGCTGAAGGTGTCCAGGTCAAAAGCACCTGCAGAACTAAATGACCAACATGCTTTTTACTCTTTTGCTCTACAGTTATATTCTTTTGAAATAAAAGATTGTTGCACACAGCTATGTATTGTAAATGTATTTAACTTATGAGTGCATTTAGCAAAAAATAGAAATGATTCTCTCTTTTCTGATGTTTAGAGTTTCTTCAAACATTTACAATTTTATTTAGACAACAATAATGAATGACGACAAATTCAGATTTGTTTCTTTATTAAAGCTGCCATGTGGAACATTTGCCTTTTTATCGCCATCTCCGTTTTTAACATAAACTTGTAAGTTATCAGAACATATAATACATGATCAGGGATAAAACATGGTTGTATCTCTAATAAGACATTTACAGTAAAAAAAAAAAAAGTTTTTGTTGTTGTTTCTAAGTCTGACAGATGAAATTAGAGTTAAATTCAAATCAGAAAAAATTGAGGGAACGAGACAGAAAAAAATAACTTGTACCATTTTTTGCATGTGAATAAAGAATTTTGCATACAAATTTAAAAAAAAAAAAATGCTCCGGTTACTGACGTAACCTCGGTTCCCTGAGATAAGGGAAAGAGTGTTGCGTCACTCGCCGTGCTATAAGCTGCACGCAAATCGATGACTGTCACTTCAGTCGAATGATTCTGATGAAATGGTGCTGCGAGCCGACTTATTTACACGGCTCTGCCCTTTCTGGCTGGCTAAAGCACCATTGGTTTGTGCAAACTACACAAACGTGAACAAATCAGGCTTCAGTA